CCTATACTGTAACCCATTTTGAAGAGAAGAGTTGCCTCCTACCCGCTTAACAGATATCCCATATTTTCCATCCAGAACATTGTTAGTTTAGCCCCTGTTTAATTTTACTGTTTAATTAAACATTGTGCCGCAAGTTTTAGCGGTTAGCGGCCGTGGCGCAACGGTTAGAGCGCTTGCTATAGAAGCAGGAGATTCAAGTTCCAAACGAGCACTGGAAATAATTTCGTGTCATGATAAGGAAGAAGGCGTGAACTTCTTGGTTAAGTGCACTTCCGCGGTGCTCTGTGACGAGACCGTAAGGTCTTCTCGGGGCACATAAAGAGCAAAATAAAAAAATAAAATTAGAGACTCTAATTAATAAAAAAAATTGTTAAACTAGAAAAAACAACTTATTTATATGCGAATTCATTTTGTTGAAGTAAAACATGACGAACTCCCCCCACCTTACCCAAAGCAGATATATCTTTGTCTCCAAGATATTCTTTGTATATCAACTAATTTTTTCTAAATATAGGTCTAAAGGTCTAAATATAGCCACAGTTTCTACAGGTTCTATACTACCAGATGAACCATCGTGATTCATTTCACACTTGTGATCAACCAACCAACACTGATAATTTGGAGTGTTTTTTTTGGATCTCCACATTTAACATCTATTATTATAATGTAAAAGATCTCTACATCAAAACATTTATCACAAATAATAAATGTTCATACAGGAAGAAAAAGTTTTCATTACAAATTTCCAAATAGTAACCAGTCCCTAAATCTCGCAATCCAATGACAGCTCGACAGGTTGATCTTTTGTGGTGATTTTAGTGATAAACCTTTTTAACAGCGTCAATAAAAAATTTTTGTGTGCTAAGAAAAATTTTTGACTTTGCTAAAGTTCTAAAGCTTTTAGAAAAAAACTTTGCACATTTCATTTCAAGTAAATGACAAAAACCCATGCGAGAATCAATGTTATCTTTGATAAATAAATATTCAATAAAGCAACTTGGACAAACATTGTGTGCAACTTCTTTCTTTAACAACAAAAAGTTAATAAATATAAAATAGTCGTAAAACTCATATTTATTTAAGCTAAAAGATATATCTAACTTTTATGAGCTAGCACAAGAAACCTCAAGATTACCAGGTTTTGATTTAAGAAAAATGGTTTGAGCACATTCCGTTTTCTGCGCTTTCTTCTGGCACTATTCTGTTTATTTACCAATGCTTTTATTTAATTCAAATATTTATATGTTACAAATCTAAACGGTACACAAACAATAGCACCCCTAATCCAACTTAAACTAAACTTTCAAATGTGTTAATTGTTATAAAATGTGTTTTGTGATTAAGAACAACGACCTTTAGCAGAACTTAAGTTCGGAAAACATAAAAGTGGTATCAGGCTTCAAATGCTTGAAGACTGCAGTAAAACTATACAACTTTTAGGACGAATACGCCTTAGCGATCAAGTTAAGTATTTAGCCTTTCCGTTGCTAATGGAAAAACGATATAGACAGTCTTAATAAAATCTTAAGACTGGTAAAGTATTCAGCTCTGAAACTTTGGATAAACGTTTATAAACAAATTAGAAACATATTTTATACAAAAATCAAAAAAGTTTAAAGTTTCATTTTTAAAACAAAAAAAGCTATATCTTTTGTTTCTGATTTCAGTTGCTGTCACTTTTCTGACAAATAAATTACTCAACATTGCAGCATATATGATCTTTTTGAACCAGAAGAAGGCACAGCAAAGAAAGAACTTTCAAGATTACTGATGGTTTTACAGATTTATTTAAATATATCACAGTTCTATAATGCATAGCCTTGAGGATGATAAAAAAAGTCTAAAAAATGTTAATGCAGTTCAGTTCACGCAGAGTGCAATGAAGCGAATAACGAACCAACACATTTTACAAACATTAATTAAAATTTCTATTTCTCCTTAAATTTTTAAAACTTGGATAGTTTGTTTTTTGCTAGGAAACACTTTGCTACAACTTGTTTCAAAAATAATTTTTTTTTTTCTACTTTTAAATTAAGTTAGAAATATATTTTCTTACATAATCTCAAAGTAATTTAATTAATTAGGTTTAAACAACTTTTAACAACTGTTCTTTTAGAAATTAAATTTTCTTAACAAAAATATTTTTTTATTTATAAACTATAATAACACTTTGATATTGATTAAAATGATAATATGAAAACAAACAAAACAGTAAAAATAATGAATAAGAACTCGGTACGACTACACTTTTTTAAGATGTTATTGAGAACTTGAAAGTTGTAATTAAGAAAAGTAAGATGTAATCGAGAAATACAAAATAGTTTAGAAGTAGCAATATCTAATTAAGAAACACAACATACAATTAGGAAATTTTAAAATGTAATTGAGAAACCCAACATGTAAATAAGAAATTGCAATATGTAATTATAAAAACAAAAGTTGTAATTAAGAAATCACGATATGTAAGTGAGAATACATTAATTGTAATTGCAAATTCACAATCTAAGCTTAAAAACCATTATAAAAGATCTTCTTACACATGCATTTTATTAAGTTAATAATATCAAATTTAGCATTTGTATGTACCAGCAATACAGAAATACATTATAGGAATTAAAAGATCGTTCCCAGTAGACACGCACATTAAAAAGACATCTTTTAAGCGTCTTATACACGTTTTGGACGTCTTTTGAACGTTTTGGACGTCTTTTGAACGTTCCAAAGACGTCTTTTTTTAGTCTGGTGCCCACTGGGTTGTGTTATTTGTCAATAATCTATGAACAGAAAGTCTGTTATTAAATTGAATCAGAGTAAGCATCTGTTTCACCAAATTTATTTACTTCCATTTCTGGAACAATCAGAACCACCTTGTCCAATTGTTAGACATGAAATACATATAACTGAACAAGTTGAAAGAAAACATTATGTTTTATCTTCATCGAACGATAGAAGAAGATTTATTGAACGTGTTGAGCAAAATGACGATTGGGTGACTCTGGCGCAAACTATAGGTGTCAAATATAAGACAGCATTAAATTTCATTGAAAGAAGTGTATTTACCGCTAAAACCGCAAATACCTTTTTTCATTACTTTTTTATTTTATTGATAATATTTTAATATTTATTGAAAACCAACCCATTTGGCCACCTAGGCCATTTTAAGATCCAACCTAAAATTACAAGGTAAACTAAAACAACAAAAATAAAAATACAAAGAACTTCTTTCTGATAATCTATTATATAAACTTTTCTCAATTATATCTTTTATCTTTTCAATAACATCTTACGTTTCTTAATTACAACTTTTAAGTTCTCAATTACATCTTGAAAAAATGCAGTCTTTATCTCCCCCAGTTTTTTTGATTGATTATGATAAAACTGATTTTAAAAACTTGGTCAATAAAAACCAGCGCTCAAAAACACTTAATTTTAATAGCCCGAAAAATAGTAAAGATGTCATCAAAAAATGAAACAATATTTTTAACATTAACACCATGTTCTAAATACCACTTGATATATTTTGAGATGATGTTCCTTTTAGTAAATACAAAATGCTCTTAGTTATTTCTTTATAGAAGGAGCGGTCAACCAAAGTAGCATCAAAACTCCGGCTAAATTTAAAAAATCACTTTGAAATTAGTTGAATATTTTCCTAAGATGTTTTGAGAAGAAAAATGTTTTTCAAAACTTGTCTTTTAAAAAGTATAGCAATCCGTTACACCAAACAAATAAAGTCTCGAAAATGTCCTTTTATCATCAAGTGAATGCTGAAATTTAAAAAGAGATGCCACGAATATTTGGTGACAATCCGGTAATTGACCTATTCGGCTATACTTTTTAACATTCGGTATTCAACCGAATTTCGCAAACTATCCAGCCGAATATCAAATACAGGATTATAACAAAACAAACAAACAAAAAATACATTTAACTATTTTTTATTTATTTTTTATATTAAAAAATAGTTGACATATTTGATACTTAAAATCAACAGGTGGTAAGTTAGGATAAAAACTTATTGATTGTTTGATAGCGAAATCTATATTAAGTATACATGAGGAGCAAAAAAATATAAACTTTGAGTTAATTTTATTTTTAAGTTCTATACACTAAAATATATTATCTATTTAAATATTAAACCAATTAAAAAAATATTTATTTTAAAATGGACAAAAAAAATATAAATTTTTGTTAATGCGCAACTGTGAGTAGTTTAGTTTTTTTTAATATTTTAAGAATGTTTTAATCTCAATGAATGGTATGAAGAGTGTTTGATTATAAATGTTAATTAATTTAGTATAAATGTTAGTGTTTAAAACAATGTACTCGTAAACGATATGACTAAATCATAAGAAGGCGGTAAAAGCAATTTCAAGAAAAGTGTGTAAAAATTCTAAAAGCAAGCTTTTTTTTCAGGAATGATGACGTCATTTATCTGCTGCTTTACAACGTAATTAAAATGTTAAGTTAAGGTTATTGCTTTTATTTTACGCTCGTAAAAATGTGCATAACAACTGCGGTACTTTTTTTTCGGAATTTAGTACAACTTGTGGTAAGTTTTTTTCGGAATATAGTACTTCTGAATAGAGTGTTTTGTTTAATATTTGTTATCAATATGGCAGAATATGCCATATTGTTTAAATATTTGATAATTAAAAAAAAAAAAAAAAAAGAAAAACTCGATTAAATAAAATAGAAATTTAAAAAATAAAAAAGTTTTAAAAAAAATACAAAGCATGAGATGAATTATAATTTAAACTTTATTATAAACTTATAATAAAAATAATAATATAAATTTTATTAAACGATGCCCGCAATAACAACTGTATCTGTTCATACAAATTAAGCCAAAAATCATCAAAACTATTTCTGAGAAATAGTTTTTGATGAATTTTGGCTTAAAGGCAAAAATAATTATGACATATAGTTTAACTAATAGTGCTTAAAATTTTTTACTAAATCACTATTTAACAATTATAGCCAAAATAAACACCACTTACCGTTTATCAACTTGTTTACTTCATTTTTGCATTCAAGTTCATTTTGAGTTTTATTATTTTCTGAAAAAGTTTTATTAGATGCTAAAATCTTTAATGTCCATTCTGAAACATCATACACAAAGTTTTGACAAACAAAACTTAAATTTGTTGACAAATTCGATTTTGTATTGGTTGATAGTATCTTACCGGGGCGTTTTGTACTCGAGAATAAAGGACTGTCTTCTAAAAAGTATAAACTACTTACCAAATACACACAGGATAGAGCAAAACATTTAGCAAATGTTTTGCGTTTCATTTTTTTTAGAAATATACAGAACGCAATTTACTTTGTATAGCATATCAACGTTTTGAAAAATTAAAATTGAATATCAATATGCTGAATTAAATATTAATCTGTCCCGCTGGGAAAAGAGCAAACGAGTTGTTATTGATGCAATTTTTTTTTAAATCTCACATTGTTGTTTTATTTTGTCTTTAGGTCATAAAAAATATTTAGTATAGAATCTAAAATTATTTACAATAATAATAAAATTATATTATTGCAATTTTATTAGGACATGCTGCTATATACAAATCTGAGCAACGAGCTGCAGCATTGTAGCTTTTGATGTTACCACGGTGTATCTGTAGCTATATATCATAACTTCCTATTTAGCAGCAACATAAAAAAAATATGTAGCTGCTCGATAACTACATATTGCGTCTTTGTAACTAAATTACTACTATATATCAATGGCTACAGATTGTAGGTAGTTAACTCTAACATAACAAATAGTCTAAAGCCTTTTGAATATTTTTTGATGCATTGTTTTGCATATCTATTACATCTCCTAACAGACATTCTTTATTTTTCAAACTCTGGTCAATATTATGTTTACTTTCAATATTGTTTTATACTAATTTCATTTGAAAATCAACAGGAAGTATAGCTTGTTGTCAATAACCTAGATAAAACGGGGTTTGTTTTATAGAATCTTGATCAAAGACACGGTATTAAAATAAAATACTCTTAATGTATAGATCCCAGGTACTTTGGCTCTCATCAACATACTTTAAAATTTGACGCTTCATCATGAGGGTTACTCTGTGGGTGGTAGGCACTTGTAAAATGCACCTTGTTGCTAGCATTTTATTTATTGATTGATTACCAAAACAAAAAACTATTGGGAAAAACACAAATAAAAAAAACAAGATTGTTTTGAATTAAAGGTTTAAATTAAAGTAATAATACACAATAAATAAAAAATTGGTTCACAGAAGAAATCATAATAAATAATAATTATGTTTAAAAAAAAAGGAAAATATATATATATATATATATATATATATATATATATATATATATATATATATATATATATATATATATATATATATATATATATATATATATATATATATATATATATATATATATAATTTTGCAACTGCAACATAATTTCCTAGAAAAATCTGCTGCTGAGCTGCATTATATCGTAGGAAAAACTTGCTGCTCGCAGGAAAATTTGCTGCTTTTTTTTCTTTACCTTTCTTGATATCATTTTATAAATATGGACAACAAAGAATACAACAATCTTGTTGATTTAATTGTCAGAAGAATATACCCTCAAGGCATCGATAAGATTAACAAAGATGGGTTAAGAAGAATGTTCAAAAGATATTTGGTAAAAGATGGCCTACTATTTAACTACGATAAAAAAAGAAACATGGATCTGCTAGTAGTTCTAACAAGTCAAAAAACTATGATTCTCGAAAGCTGTCATTCTGCAATTCTTGGTGGTGGTCACTTTGGTCGTAATAAAACTTTAGAAAAACTCTTAAAGAGGTACTACTGGAAAGAGATGGTAAATGATGTGAAGAATTTTTGTAAATATTGTGATAAATATCAAAGAGCAAACAGGTATGTTTGTTATATAACTTTTTTATATACTAAAGTTTATTATTTAATAATTACTTAAAACAATAACAACAATAATAATTGTGATTTATAATACTTCTGTATTATTAATAATCCTTATAGGTATTATTAATAATAACTTAGATAATATATTTTCTAAGTAATAACAAAAATTAAACATAATTGTAAAAAAATGTATTATGTAATTAAATTACAATCTAAGTAATAACAAAAATTAAATATAATGGTAAAAAAAATTTCAAATAATATAAATTGATAAATATTTATTAAACTAAAATTATAATTTGTAACTAACCTTGAAATATATACTTTATAGAGAGTTGAAATCAATTTAGTTGGACCTCTTCCTTTAACAGAAAAGGAAACAAATACATCATAATAGCAATCTTTTTATTCTCCAAGTGGCCTGAAGCAGCTTCCTTAATTGATAAAACAACTACAAGTGCAGCAAAGTTCTTTTATACATGTTTTACAAAGCATGGTTGTTGTGAAGTTCAGATAAGTGATCAAGGAAGAGAGTTTGTAAATGAGGTATTGTGTTGGATTTTGTTTATTTATTTGTCTTTTTTTTGTTGTTGTTAATTTTGAATTTTCATTACTTTTTTGGAAAAAACTCTATTTTTTGTATAAAATAATTCTATATTTTGATAAGTTGATATATCATAATTGGATATGAAGAGTGAATAAAGAATAAGTCAGAATTTTTACAACTTTAGAACTTGTTCATTTAAATTGATAAACAAAATGAGAGTTAAAAAAACAACAATTAATCAGCCTCATTTGTAATACTTACATAAAAAAAAATTTTTTTAGGCTTTGTCAATATTTTGCACAACAAAAATGTTTTATGCCAATACTTAATTCTTTTATTAACTAGTTTTTATTTATTAGGTTATGTTATACTTGTTTATTATTTAATGCAAACCTAGTGGGCACGGCAACGTCCATATGACGTCGAAATAACGTCTTTTTAGAACGTCCAGAACTAGTTCTAATTGGCAACGCCAGATGACGTCTTTTTAGGACGTAATTAGGACGTCTTTTTAGGACGGAATAGAAGACGTGTTTTTCAGACGTCTAAAAGATGTGAATTTAGGACGTTCAGAACTAGTGCTAAATAGACACGCCAAACAATGTTTTTAAATAATCTAATTTAGCCGTCCTCAGTTCGACGTCTATAATCCTTGTCTTTACATGGCTTTACTCAAACGTAAGATTAAAACTTATGTTTTCACTTAACTTTTTGAGAATAAGTATAAAATAAAAATTTGCATAAACTTTTAATAATATATGTTTGCTATGTTTTATAAATTATAATTTTTTTAAAACTTCTTCATCCACTTGTTAATTTCCAAGAATCGACAGTTCGAACACTTGACGTCATTCACCTTCTTTTAGATCAGGTGTGGGCTTTAGATTATTGCCAACAGCATTTTAAAGTTTTTTTTTGCTGTAGGAATCAGGTAAACAGTCTTAAGCCTAAAAAAAATTCTAAAGATAAGTATGTAAAAATAAAGGAGAAAGGAATAAAGAGAACTTTTATGACGTAATATTCATATATATATATATATATATATATATATATATATATATATATATATATATATATATATATATATATATATATATATATATATATATATATATATATATATTATATATATATATATATATATATATATATATATATATATATATATATATATATATATATATATACATATATATATATATATATATATATATGTATATATATATATATATATATATATTTATATATTATTTTAAAACATCAAAATAATATATATATATATATATATATATATATTATTTTAAAACATCAAAAATACGATTTCTCTCAACACTTATAATTTTTTATTATTATAGAAATTTTCGCTGGATTTTAGATACCAGCTTCTTGAGCTTGTTAAATGTTACAGTAATTAGTAAACCGTTATAATTTAAACTGAAACGTTGCTATTGACGTCAGCGGTTGAATGGCTTCTTTTTCGCTGAAATTTAAAAAATGGCGTCCAAAACTTAGTTTTTACGTATTGACCCTCATCGAGATTAATCCCGCCATTTTTTGCAGAACACATGTTTTTTTGTATTTCTAGGGCTTCCCTAACTTTTCTTTCAAATTTTTTATTTTCTACTTTCAATGTTTTTGTTTGTTCCCAAATAATTTCTTTTTTGCAAAATGTTTTATGCAGAGCTAATGCAGATTGATGCTGCTTATTTTCATCAATGCTTTTTTGGTGTTGATGCATTCGTGTGTTTACTTTCATTTTTGTTTCGCCTACATACACTTTTGAACAGTTGCATTTGATTATATATGTTCCTGGTTGACTGTTATTAGGTAATTTTGATTTATTTTTTGATGTTAACAGGGATCTTAAGTTTGGGTTTGATTTGAATACCGCTCTGTAACCATCTTTTCGGAATATTTTCCTAAGTTTTGGCGAGAGACCGGGTACCCATGGTAAGGAAACTACAGGATAATTATTGGTTTCAGATGGAATTGTAATTTTATGATTCTAAATCTACAAATCTACAAAAAAACTGAATAGGTAAAGTTATTAAAAAAATCTGTTGCTAAATCGAAAAACCAATACATCTTTTTACAAAAATGTGTAAAACATAAAATTATTCCGAAATCATTGCGAATTAACTCTCCAATAAAAAATAGAAGAGCAATAGGTATTATTTATCGTTTTAGATTTGAACTTTTAGTCAGCATAAAAAACGATTCTAGGAAACGATTCTTTAACCTTATGAATGACGTTAAAAATCTTCAAAGTTCGCTCAAATGTAACCTAGACGAAAAAGACTACATTAAATTAGAACAAATCACTGAAAAAGCTCGGGAGAATATGTTTATAAAGTCAAAAGAACGATTAGTGAAAAAATTTCTAATATTGCAAAATGAACGTGAAAATAAAAACGATAATGCCGGAAAAACAACAAATTATAAAAAGAATGCTTAGTTAATCAACTTAGTTGCGCAATGTCAAGGCCTGTTATTATAGAAAGCCGTAATCTTAACTAATTGCAACTCTCTCTGAAATCCATTTCACTGAAAAATAAATTTTGTTAGACGAAGCTTCTGCATAATAAATTAAATCGAGTGCGTTACGATCCAAGGATGCCATTTGACCATAAAAAACCTTAATTCATGAAGCGAGCAGTTTAACTCCTTACCTAATATAGAATAATTTAGATTCAATTTTAAGCAGCATAATAAGGTCTTGTTATACTGTTTATATTTAATAACTTTAGACAACTCGAGTATGGGAAATTGTGGGTATTGATTTTGCTGGACCCTTTACAGAAACAGCAATGGGCAATAAATATTTTTTAAGTTGCACAGATTTGTTTTCCAAGTGGCCGGTTGCATATGCTTTACCAAATAAAGAAGCTACCACTGTTGCAAAGGCTATTATTAAATTAGTTACAACTTTTGGATTTCCTTCGGCAATACTTTTAGATAATGGAACTGAGTTTTATAATCAGGTAAAAATAAATTAAAATAATGATAATGAAACCCTAAGGGTTTGTTAATTTTTGTTACTAATCCTAATTTTTTAGTTAAACCACGAAATGTACAAAATGCTGGGTATTGAACGAAAAAAGACAGTCGTTTATCACCCACAGTGCAACGGACAAGACGAAAACACCAATAAAAATGTAAAAGGGTTTTAATGTTTTTTGTTTTGGGTGAGGACCGCTTAAGTGATTAATAATTTCTGTTAAGCGCATCTTAAAATGTAACCATTCTTGTTTTGTCAAACGTGTTCTTTATTTATAATACTTCCATATTTACTGAATAGTTAGAATTTATCAAATTTATTTTATTGCATATTATGTTTATATGTATATTACAAAATTATTTAGATTTTCATGTCAGTTATTAAATATTAACGCTTTTTGTACTTTTAGAAAGTTAAGAAAATTAATGAAATTAATTAATGAAAATCAAACAAATTGGGACGAATATGTTGATATTGTTTTGTACCCACTACCTACATGAGATTGACTTTGAATGAAAATCAAATTTATTAAAACACTTGAGATTCTTCTTTCTAAATTGTCTGCTCGTATTTGAGAAAATTGAAATCAATCTGTAAATAAAAAGAAAAACAATTTTAAAATCTTAGAACTTCGTATTATTGGAAAAAACAGAAACAACAACAATTAATCAAAGTTTAAAATGAAAACATGGAACAATAATTAAAAAACTCAATACAAACACAATTTTTTGAATTCATTTATGAGAAAATAAAACAAAAAGATCACTTCTACTCAAAAGCATCTTATGTTGATTAATTTACTAGGAGATAAAAAATCAGACACTTTACAAGGGGTAGGTGATAATTCAGACAGATGTAAAGAGCTTATTAGAGTATTTTTAAGTAAATAAATCACTAATTAATTTACAGTTGTATAATATCAATCATTATCACAAAACACCATGATCACATCATCTCATATTATACTGATGTATTAGGGGTAGGTAAATATTCAGACGCTAGTTTTAGTGATTTACAAAGAGAAGGTGATAATTCTGACATATAAAAACTTTCTAGACAAACATTCATTAACACAATTAATTCATACTTGCGTGCTTTACCATTAGGACCGAAATAATATTAGCTTCTAAAGATATAACACTAAACTTACCTTTTTAGCACCAGACTGACAAATTGGGGCAAAAAGAAAACTGAAAATCCTGAAACAATTAATAAACTTTATAATAAATAAAATACTTAAAACTAATAAACCTATATATAAGTATTCCGTAACTTCAAATAATTATAAAGATGGTTTTCCAATAGTGAATAAACAATATGATAAAGTTGAGCTTTAACTTAAATTGTAAATTGCTAACTGAAAAACTTACCTTCTGCCAATCAGAAAACGTTCACACTATCACATAAAGTCATTCAGAAAACATCACACTTTAACATGATGAGTCACTAAAATCGAACAAAAAATAAATTTTCAAGTAAAAAAGTGACTAATTAATTTACAAATAAACAATTTCTATCATTATAAAACAATACCATTATTGCACTATCTCATATGGAGTGATTGACTAAGAAGGGAGGTGATAATTCAGACAGATATAAAAATATTTGTAGAGTATTTTCATGTAAATATATGACTAATTATTGACCGTTGTAAAATTTTTATCTTTCTCACTAAATAACATAATCCCACCGTCTTATATTGACTGATTTACAATGGGGAGGCAATAATTCAGGTGATGGTTTTGTGATTTCAAAAGGGGGAGGTGATAATTCAGACAGATATAAAGGTTTTGAGCATTTTCAAGTAAAAAAGTGACTAATTAATTTACAGATGCACAATTTCTATCATTATCAAACAATACCAATATCGTATCATCTCATATCAAGTTATTTACTAAGTCTTAGCAAGCCTGAGTCTAAGGGGGAGGTAACAATTTAATATTTTTATGCAAGTATAATAATTATAAGTATAATAAGTAAACTAGTTATATTACATTTGTATAATATCTATTACTATCAACCTTTTTTATATAACCTTCCTTATATTACCTTTCAAAAAAATGGAATTGGAACATCACAAAAGACCAAGTAAACTTTATTTCTCGAATTCTTGTCCTCGAAGCGTCATTTTCGTTGTTTATGTTTATGTTAATTATGTTATGTTATGTAAGGTTTTAGGAACACATCTAACAGCTATAACCAGAAAGCGCAACCTCGTTTTGAGTTTTCAATGGGGGAGGTGATAATTTAGGCGGAGGTAATAATCTATCACAAATAACTAAAAAAAAGATTTATTAAAATACATTGTTACTGAACTTAAAATTACTTTTAATCGCTCATACAATATTACCGAAGAATTTATAGGACTTTTTAGCTGCTTCATTAGCCACAACATAATAATCAAAGCAAACTTCTTTTATCTTTTCTAAACTATTTATTACATAATTTAAGATTCATAACAAATTTTAATTCTTATTCATAATGAAAGATTCAAGATGTCCGTGACATTCTGTGCAAAACTAACTTCATAAAGTTAGTTCCGTACGGAAACTAACTTCATAAAGTTAGTTCCGAAACTAACTTCATAAAGTTAGTTCCGAAACTAACTTCATAAAGTTAGTTCCGTACGGAAATAGTGTGACTTCGCTTTTCAATGCAAATTAAATGTTCAGAACTCGTTTAGAGTAGATTAAATCGACGTAAATTCGATCTAAACGTGATCTAAACCAATTTTAAATCAACAACTGTCCGTTGGGATATATATATATATAAATATAAATATATATATATATATATATATATATATATATATATATATATATATATATATATATATATATATATATATATATATATATATATATATATATATATATATATATATATATATATATATATATACATACATATATATATGTATATGTTCGAACTGGTCAAACTGGTACTGAATGGCTGGAGTGGAGAGGCATAGTTAGGGCTGTTATGGTAGCAAAAATAAGTTTAACCTTAATCACATAGTTTTTTTGTTATAAGTGTTTAGGAAATTTCTAATAATGTGCATGCAAATTTACATATCTTTGTCCATCAATTTATTTGATACATTTAAAAAAAAATCCATACATTTTTTATTTATTTATGTTTTGATTTATTTGCTTTTAAAAATAAGAAATAAGGTGATACAGTGGCGGATTATCAAATTATGGGCCTATAGGCTTAACTAATTCATGGGCCCTATATACCTATATTTTTCTAAAAAATAAGTCAAAAAGTACAATTTTAATTTTATTTATAATAATAATATCTATAATAAAATCTAATTTTATTTCAAAATTACAAACAAATTATCAGGTATATTAGATACTAGTATATATTTTATAAATGGCTGACCCAAAGAAAAAAACAACACGATCAAAAATTCATTTTTCTGCATTTTCGTTCAACAAAGTCTGATAAAATTTCATTGAAGTCACAGCTTCTTAGGATGTCAGATTCAGTACACATAACAGTAAGGGAATTCAGTTTATCATCACCCAAAGCACTTCGCAGATAGTTTTTTATCCGTTTCAATGCAGAGAATGATCTTTCATCACTGCAGTTGGTGATCATCAAACTGAGGTATATGTGAAGTGCTGTGGCAACATTTGGAAATATATCTTGTAGTGCACTGCTGTTTCTCAAAGCCCGATACATATACAGCTCTATGCTACATTTCAGTTCTTTCTCATTCTGTTGCAAGTACGTATCAGCTAACAAATATTCATTGAAGTGAAGTATTTCATCTTCAAATGACTCTTCCAAATCATCTACATAAGTATCTATCAAGTTTCTACTGGCTCTTCGCAAATCAGACTGTTCCAGTGATCGAATGTTTCTCAGAAAACCAAACTTATCACATACACCACTGTATGCCTCTGATCGTTTACATAATGCTGAATTCAAGTGATCAAGTACCTGCAAGAAAACCATGACTCGAAATTTCTGCTGTGTCGAAAACACTGTTTCATCAGCTGATCCATCATGACGGGTTAATTGAACACTTCGCTTTCGTTTCCTCTGATTCTCTTCTTTATAAGAAGTTGACCCTGTTATTTCCTTTCCTTTCTTCTCAAAGAAATCAAACTGTGCTCGAAGTGAATTTACATATTCTTTTAGTGAAGTTAACAGTTGAACAGCCTTATTTAGATCAAGTTGTGGACTTTGCAGTTTTAAACTGGTCTTATGAAAGCAATCTAATATGGGTGTCCAGAGTTCTAATAAAATTCCATATTCTAACTGATCCATCTTCTTTGCAATTCCTGCAGCTGTAGTGCGAGCTTCAACCTTCTCCTCGGGGTCCTCAGCAATGTTCTCTAACACTTTCTTAACATTTTTAAAGCCTTTGCCCAATGCTTTAGTTGCTGCAGAATGTGCTGATCATCGAGTATCAGAAAGGCGTTTTAGAACTAACTGGTTACTATCCAATCCTTTGGTTAGAACCTCCCACCGTTGGGTTGATGCATTTAAAAAGACATACAAGTTTTGTACAAAATCAAAAAATCCACTCACTGTTGTCACGCAGTTTACAGCTGATGCACCCTGATAACCCTGAATATTTTCCTGCCATATTGCTAGCATTATCGTAGGACTGACCTCGGCAATATTTTATATCCAACTTTGCTTCTTCAAGAAAGCTGTATAAACTGTTAAACAAATCTTCTGCCCCATGTCTTTTCATGCTTAAAAATTGCACAAATTTTTTTATAGGGCCATCGTTCAAAACATATCGAAAGACACATGACAGCCTATCAACATGAGATATGTCTGGAGTAGAGTCAACAGAAATCGAATAAAATTTTGCTCCACGTATTTCAGACAATATTGTTTTCATAACTTGCTTTCCCATGACATCAATTAACTCATCACAAATTGTTGATGACAGGAGTGAAACAGAGCCTTTCCCCTTACCACCATGGTTGTCAATAGACTGGAGAGGAATGGATCAAACTGAGCAATCAACTCCAAAATTCCCAAAAAATTGCCATTAGAACTTGACCCCAATATTTCAGTATGTCCTCTAAATGCGAGCCCTCTTTCAGCAAAGAATTTGATAACTGAGACAACTCTTTCTAGCACAGATTTTGCATATGCACATTCCTGTCTGTATTGCTCAACTATTGCTGAATCTACACATCCTCTGACTTGTACTCTTTGGCTGAATGGGATTGTTGCATTTCTATGTGCAATGCTGTTTTCATGTGACTGTATTCGTGAAGCTGCATTTTTCCAATCACAAAAGCCATTCCTTGAGAATGAATTATCATCAGCAGAAAATAATTTACATACAAAGCAGTAAATGCAAGATGTTGCTGGTGAATAACACAACCATGACCTTGGGACTTTCTCACCATTGCAAGAATGAACACGATAAAAGAGATTCTGTGAGCAGTAGCGCTTCTGTTTTCCATCAATGTTGACAACATTCACTGCCACGAGTTACCCAAAAGTTACAGAATGTATCATTGATTTCCACTTCAGACCATTGCCCAATGTCAGTGGAAAAGGAATTGTCATCACCTTTGGAACCAGCTTGTACTTCTGGTTTCTGAGAAAGTGTCTCCGCGTCTACCATATCATCAGATTCAGAGTGAGAGATAGATTAATTGCATACAGCTGCAACACTGTTATCACGTTCCAATTTATAACCAAATTGACCAGGCAAACCACACTGACCAACACATGGTAAAGGTGAATTCGATGGTGGGTCTTCTCTATTGACATTGACACTAATCGTAGGAAAAAGCTCAGTTATTTTAACAGTTTTTGAAATGACCGCTTCCTCACGTTTCTTTTTATCTTCACGGTCTTTAGCTTTTTGATACCCAGACTTGTGATGATATGCCATTATGACCTGAAATCAAAAAACATCTTATCTTAAAGAATCTACTGTATGCTTCCTATTTTAGTGTTGCAAAACACCTAATGACATCAGTACAAAATTGATTTTTTAGTTTAAAAATAACATTTGGTTCTGATAAAGCAAAATTTTGACTAAGACAGAGTAAAAAACAAACATTTGGATTTTTTAGTTTAAAGGGCTTCAGCCTACTCAGCCTAACGGATAATCCGCCACTGAGGTGATACATGTAATATCAAAATTATTAATATTTAAAACAAGCAACACTATATTGCTAGATTTTTGTTACTAAGAAAATAAAGCATAACTCTGTCTGTAGAAAATTTATTATTCTTAATAAATAGAAAATTCCTCCGATAGCAGTTTTAACAGAGGAGCAGGGTTAGATTTCAGCATTAACAGCCTTCCGATAACTAAATTTTTTCCTGCAGTTAATTAAACGGAGACATAAGAATACGAGTTTATTTTATCGCTTGCGATTAAAAACATCAAAGACAGGATATTGTTAATGGAGCAATAGCTTCTACATTAAAAACATTTTTTTAGTTGTTGGATAGTGTTAGATCTAGAAAGTTATTATGTCGAGTATTATTAGATAGTATTAAGCTGGTCTAAAGCATTTGCCAAACATGTTTCTACAAATAAGTCATGGAACGTCCTCCGAAACTAATTGTAA